ATAATGAACGATGTCCTTTAGCCTACTCAATTTGTTATAAAACAACAAGCAAAGCATGGACTTAGAAAGATTGTTTTAAGTACAGGCCAAAAAATATTTTTTATCAATATAAAAAATTTTCCCCATTTTTTTTTCACTAGGGACAACTTAGCACTGGCATTAGACTAATGCTACATATTTAGAAAAAGAGGCTTTGTTTCAATCAACCTCTTATTAAAACAAATGCCCAGTTAACTGGTTAACCCCAAACAGAAGGAGATATTGAAATCCTAAATCTTATTTAATGCAGTCATTATTCAAGACCTAGATACTATACAGTCTGGAAGATGGATCCATAAGATACATTCTAACATATCTGAATATATTTTATTTAATAGCCAAATATCCAGTTATTAAAAGTATTGCAATAGGAATTCTGCCCACCTGTCCATGGTCTACAGAGAGGCTTGGTTATTAAGTAAAATACTATATTTTTGGTTGTCCCTGATAATGGAGACTTTCTTTACTTTGTCTACAGGAAAAGAAGGATTTATTTTGGAAAACAGTTGTGTAAAAATTCTATCTAAGAATTTGGGATTTGTTTTTTTCTTTAAGTATGGAAATAATTCAGGATGGTATTAGTACATATTTCATCAAATAACAAAAGTGTCTTTAGTCCAAAGTGCCAGATTCTTTATGATTTTTCTTTTAAAGACTTTTCTGTCTCTGTCTCTCTCTCACACATCCCCCCTGCACCTCCCCAGGATTCCATAATTCACAATAATGTAACAAAAGCAAATGGCATTTTCATAGCATAGTGGAAAGAACACAAGGAGCCCTGAACTTTCACCCTAACTCTGTGAGTAACTAGCTGAATGATACTGGACAATGCATTTAACACCCTTGGCTCCAGTTTCCCAACCCACAAAATGAGAATGTCAAATAATTTTCTTTAAAGCTCTAAAGTCGACAACCTATAAACGTAAATTTGAAGAGCAGTGAAGTGGGAGGAAGCTTTTTGGTAGAAATTTTTCACACACAAAACAGGAATCTTCATTTGGTAATTACCTGAGGGGAGCAGTTCTGCACGATCACAGGGACAGATAAACTGAATGGCAGAGTCTCCCTTGCCTGGAGTTCTACTGAATCCAGGGGCAATGAAGGTGACAAGGTGGGGGCGGGGTACAGGGCAGCAGCAGCCCCTTTCTGAGGACACAAGTAGAGTCTCTGGTCCCAAGTGTTCCTCACTCAGTGGCTTCTTCCTCAAACCTCATCCCCAAGTGTCCCTTCCCTGCCAGCAGCAATGACCTGCCCTCCAGGGTCTATACGACACATTGACCCTCCGACCCTCCACTGGTTTGCAGAGCCTGGCGGTAACCCCAACCTTTCTTTGCAGTTTTGCTCTCCCGTCACTGACTGGTTGTGAGGTGCCGTGACTCCTTTGAGGCAGAGGATGCGAAGTGACAGTATCTCTGCTCAGTTGTGACCTTGTTAGAGGCACCTTCCCTGGCCATTCTGGCTGGTGTGGCCCTATCGCTTTCTATTCCCAGCCTGCTTTATTGTTCTTCAGAAGGTATATCACTACAGACAGAGATAATTTTCCTTTCTTTATGTGTCTGCTGCCTTCACTAGAGTGTACATTCCTGGAGAATCTTGGTCCATGTTTTATCCTGGATACACAAAACAGAACCTTAAAACATAATAGACACAGCATAAATAAATATTTGTTGAATTCATGAAATATGCATTGTTTACAGGTAAATCAGACCTGTGATCTAAGTTTCTGACCAATCCTTCCCAGCACAACCATTCTTCAAGGAGAAGTTCAACTAAGATGTATCCAGCTAAGGTGTCAGATTTTATTTAATCCTTACTGTGACTTGTGACGAGGGGGTGCTTTGGCCTCATTTTACAGATGAGGAAACTGAGACTCAAGAAGCTAAGCGCCTTGCTGGAAGGCACCCAGCAACTAGGCAGTAGAGCTTAGAATGAACCTAGGTTTTCTGACTCCAAGGCCACTGTTCATTTCCCTGTTTCCCAGTTCATGCACTGTGTCTGCATCTCCTCCGTCTCCCCGTTTGTAATGGCACCGTGTCCACGGAGCCAGCCTTCCATAGATGAAACTAACTGGATTCAACCAAAGCCTGCCTAGAACTTAGATGCAGTTTTTGAAACCAGGTCATTTCTTACAGTGGCAAGCCGTATATGTGCTTTTTGACACTGATAATATCATGTGGGAAGCAGGGGCGGGGTAGGGTGTTGTTTAAAATTGCAGGTTAACCTGTCTGTGGCAAACGAAAAGTAGCACGGTTCCCACAAACTGTGGTGCTCCCAATGTGATGCTCAGAGCCTTCCCAAGTGGTGCTCTTGGAAAAGAGAAGAGAATGTAATACACTAGGACTTACTATAACGAAGGGCAACATAATTGGGATTATACAATCACATGGAGTTGCGCAAATTATGCACAAAATAAGGGGCTTCTGGGAAGAAATCTAGACCTCCCTGGCTTCCTAGACCAAATATCTCCCGAGCACTGAGACCCACGGGTTATTTTGAAATATTGATATGCCTTGTATTTGAAGAAGAAATATGCAGGTACATAAAATCACATCCTAGAACCACTCAAAGCTGATTTTTCCAGGCCATTCAAACTAGGAATGCACATTCTGGATTTGTGCCCACAAATTAGATAAAGTCTATAGTGTCTTCAGAATTCTATCAGTATAGGACTGGATTTAGTGCACACACAGGTAGGTGTTCTTGTAATAGCATGTGAACCTAGTATTTTAGGCACAGAAAAGTTTGGAGAGATACTACTGTATAGGTAATTTATCCTACTATTTAATTTTTAGAAAGAATATAAAGCTCGAACAGGTTTAATGGAGGTGCATTCTCAACGTGGGACTAGAAGTCAGCTGGCCTCCCTCCTCGTCCACTGTCCTCTCCAAGTTCAGTATGTGAACAGCTGTGGGAGTGAGGTCCCCAAGATCCAGAGTTCACATGTGAACAGAAAACTGTGGCTTCCACACAATTTAAATGCCAGATTATACACTAAAGACTCAATCCTTCCAAATGTTGGAGATCAAAGACAGCTTGAAAAGCCACTGCTCTGTGGTGACTCTGCCTAGCCAGGTATCCTGGGACAGGGTACTAGGGTGGAGAGTTTCAAGGGCTCCCACCACCAAACATGAAAAGAGAGGACCTCCAGGCCCATCGTTGGCCTGATGCCAGGTTCCTGGTCCAAGCCTGCTCTCACTGCTTGCCATGCCAATCCCTGAGTGTGTATCTCAAGAGGTTAGCACATCCTGGGTACACAGACCACAGCTTCCTCCCTTTGCTCAGGGCCTGTGCTTAGAGGTCTGAGCAGTGTGGAGATATTTCTTCACTTCTCCTTAGGGTGTCCACATCAAGACCCCGGAGCTATTTTATCCTCTTCGGATTTGAGAGGGTCTTTGGGTAAGTGGTAAGTGTCCCGATTGGGGGCGTGGGGGAGAATTTTCTAGAGCGCAGCGTCTCATTACTAAACCCAGGGATACAGAGACACTTGCACGACACACCAACAGGAAGCAGAGACAGGGGCATAAAACAGCCCAGTGACCCCCACTCCCAGGTCTCTGCGGGATCCTCTCACCCACTTCTCACCCACTCACTCTGCTTGCAGAACCCGGGCTGCCTTTAACCCATTACAATCAGTTATCTCATCTCCAGATTTTCAAGTTCCTTCAGTTGGTAGCTTTTTACCTAAGTCAGCATATTTCAAACTTTCAGAGAAAAAAAAAAAACTTAGAAAATAAAAACCACGACCCCACCCAGAAGATAAAAATCTCTTGACTTCTCTAAGCCCAACATCTTAGCCTCGTCTCACTCAGCACTGAGCAGCAGGGAGTTGATTTCTTCGCGTTCTGGGCAATGGCGGGCTCTGCCAGTCCCCACCTCACCAGCCTAATAGTTTTTCCAGACAAACTCCTGCTCGGTGTCGCGAGGCAGCTGCCTCCTGCTCCCATTCATTCCCCTAGGTCCTCTAAGGCCAGCCACGGTAGGAGGTGTCCCCTCCCCTTGCTCCCGGCCCCACTTCCAAGCCCGTCCGAGCAGCAGTCACCCTCCTGAGGTCTGCGCGGCGCCCAGACCCTCGCGCTCCCTCCTGGCTGCGCTCTGCGACCGAGACGCAGGCGCGGCGGGGGTGCGGTGGGGTGGGCCTGGCAAGGCGGGCACCCCGGGCTCCGAGCCGGCCGCCGCAGGGGGAGCGGCTCCGAAGGGCGAGGGACGCGCGTGGAGGACAGAGCTCCGGGAGCCCTTCCCCGCGGCCGGCGCGTGCCCGGCGGGGCGCGGGGGAGCTGCGCGGACCGAGCCGGGGACGGAGATTCCCTGCCCCGGAGGCGGCGAGGCCGGCCCGTTAGTCCCGCGGAGCCGCTGGCTCCCGAGCGCCGAGAACTGGGCGACAGAAGGACGCAGAGAGGAGGCAGAGCAGCCCGCGCGGACATGTAAACAGGGGCTCCCATCTGCAGCAGCCCGCGCGGACAGACTCCCGCACGCTCGCGTGCACCCCGTGCTCCCGCAGCGAGCCCGCTCGCCCGCCCCGGGGCCCACCGGCGGGGACCGAGCCGGCCGCGCTGCAGCCCCCGCCCCCGCCGCTCTCGGCCTCGGCGAGAGGAAGCCGGCGAGTGCCCAGCGCCGGGCCGGGCGCCCCGGGTGCCGGGTGGGAGCGGGGAACCCGGATTCTCCGCCCCTGACTGGGCTCCGCACCCGGGGTCCCCGGCTTTCACGCCGCGCCTCCCGCAGCCAGGCCGGCAGCGCGGCGGGGGGGGCCGGACCCACTTTGGGGAAGGCGGTTGGAGGGGACGGCCCTGGGTGGGCAGCCCGGCCGCCCGCCCCGCGGGTGGGACTCGCCAGCCGAGCGCCGGGAGCGGCGCGGAAGGAAGGGAGAGCGGCCACGTCTTCCGGGCCCCGGGCCCCGGCACCTCGCCGCCCGCCCCGCCGCCCCGGCCGGCCCGCCGCCCCGCGTCCGCGGCCCCAGCGCTTACCTTAATAGTCCCGTCCATTGGGCCAAGTCTGCAGCCGAGGCCCCCAATATTCCACACATTGACCCGGTTACAGCCTGACCTCGCAGCCCCTTCGGATTAGCCCGGCGCGGCCTCCCTGGCGCCCTGGGCCCTCCCTGCGTGCCCCCTGCGAGCGCCCTGCCCTCGCTCCCCTGTGCACGTTTGTTGTTGTAGCGGAAAGAAAAAGAGACAGTTAACCGGATGAAACTTTTTTTCAGCTAATTTTGGGAAGTGACTTCACTTTGCGAATCGGGGAGGAAGTCCTATCTCTCTCTCTCTCTCTCTCTCTCTCTCTCTCTCTCTCTCTCTGTCTCAGCTCTCCTCTCTCTACTCTCTGCTCTCCCTTGTCTTCCCTCCCCCAACACCCCCTTTTCCTCCCCTCGGCTGGTCCTGCTTTTCGCATCACACACCGTATAAATACACGCGGAGATGCCCAGCTACATGCATGCACTGCGCACACAGGATACTTGCTTCTGGGAGATAAGAGCCAGCCGGGAACAATGACGGGGTCCACGCCCAGCGTCCGCGCCCTGATTCCCGCTGTCTGCACCCCCCACCCCGTCACCTTCCCCCAGATCCAGTCAAACGCCTTTGGCCTCTTTCCTTTTCCCGGGGCTGTTGGCCGAAGGTGGCCCTCCTGACTCATTCGCTTTCCGTTTCTTCCCACAGATACGTTCATTAATGCTTTTTCCAGCCGGAGACAAACTTTTTGCGGGTGGGGGAAACGCCGAGAGAGTTTACCGGGGCTGGGGATAACCTGCCGCCTGCCGCTGGGGAAGATTCAGACGCAGACCGAGGCAAACCAACCATCCCAAAGCGCATCCAGCAGGAATTTTTCCACTCGGGCCCTCAGCCGCCCAGGCGCGGTGGACCCCCGGAGCGGCTCCCCCACTCATCCGTGCGGATTCGGGGCGGTTTCGGGCTGGCCCGCGCCGTCGGGGGCGCGGACTCCCCTCTGCGTGCATTGTTAGGAGAAGGGCGCCCTCCCGGGCAGCGCGCCTACACTCCGGGCTCCGGGCGCCCGCACGGGGCGGGGACCCGCGGCACCCTAGGCCACCTATCCGCATCTTCTTGGGTCGAACCCCTCGCGCTTACCCGAACACGACCGCCCACGCACCAACTCTCAGGCCAGAGTCGCCCTTCCAATTCCACCCCGGTCCCCAGGAACTGACACTCCTCCGCGGTGGTCAGCAGGTCCCAAGAGCGCAGCACGCAACAGTTCGGCGCAGACCCAGACTTCTCCCGGGATGAGACCCGGAGGCCTGCGCTCTGGACCGTCACCCCCACCCTGCCGCGAGCCTGGCCTCCCTCGGCCCACCCGGGACCGCCCCATCTCCCTGCTGAGCTGCCGCGCGCGCGCTCCAGTTGGGGCAGCCTCAGGGGTCACGACTCTTGGCCTGACTCCCTTTTCCCCGACCTCCAAAACGGGTTACCTTGTCCACGCTCTCCAGACCACGCTTTGGACTTTCTCACTTTTATTTAAGAGTCCGCCCAGGGAAAGAGGAAAAAAAAAATCCAGAGGAGATCCGAGTCAATTGGAAAGAAAAAAATTCAAAAGGGTGTCCACAGCGGCGAAAAAAGGTGACATTAATTCTTTATTTCTTCAGGAGCAATGGAGCCCAAGAGCTTGCTCGCCTCCCTCCCTCCCTCCCCTTCCCGCTCTGGAAATTAGTCTCATCAATTCAGCTCCAATTTTGGGTTCGAATACAGACATGGGTCTGAACGTGACCAGACCTGGAGTGGCGGGTGTAGCCTGCCAGCAATTGAGACTCCGTGTGCGTGTGGGGGGTGGGGTGGGGTGGATGGTGGGAAGGGGGCCGGCAGACTCCCCCCCCTCCTGTCTGCTTCTCAATCCAGGGGTCTGCTCCGGGGCTCCCCTGGGACTGCCACATCTGGTTACTGCTAGCGGGGTCAGTCCCCCCCCTTTGCCTGGGGCCACCAGTTCTGGAGTTCAATTAAAAGAAATCAGACTTAACCCTTTCCTCCCCGCAGCCGGGCGCCTGCCCTCTTACTCCTCCCTTCAGCGTTTCCACATGCTTTCCAGAGAGGAAAGAGGTTAAAGGGAAAGGAAGAATGAATTACATCCTTTCAAACCCCAAATTGTTTCCTTTTCAGCCCAGACTCTACCGACCTTCAAACGACAACAGGGCTTTCAGGAGGGTGCAGGGAGACGCTTCCCGTTCTGGACCTCACCAGAAACCCGTGCACCTCCAGCCACACTGCTCCTCTTTCAGCCAGAAAGGACTCCAACTCCACCACCGAGAGGCCCCCTTCCCAGTGCTGGGCAATCACAGAGGCTGTTAATGGCCGCCCCACACGCAATGACTGCCCCCCTCCTAACCACACTCCTCCTAGCTTTTTAGAAAGTACCTCTATGGCAAACAGGATGGCTAGGTTCTTTTCCAATTCCTGTTAGCTTGGCAAATGACAGACCGTCTACACTGCGTGGATCAGTATTCACCCCAGTATCCTTAGCACAGCTTCCCAACTCCTTTTAGCATCAGCTGCCTTTCCTACTGGGAGCATTCAATACAGAACTAGATTAACATGAGGACTAGCCCTCCTGTTTGAGCTGTTGTACTCAATAGCACTTTCTGTTTCTGCCTGTAAAACCAAAGCTATGGCAATTCCATAATTTTGAAGATGGGGGGTGGCTAGTGGAAAGGCTGGCACAGGCATCACCCTATGCATTGGCACAGGCATCACTGTTCCTTTGTGACTCACCCACTGACCTGCCCTTGCTGCCACCGCCTTTGCTATTTGCCAGCCCCTCGGTGAGGGGCTCCTGTCCACTCACAGGATCTCGACCCAGAAAGAACCCACCTTAACTCAGAACAGATCTCTGCAGGAATATCGGATTCCCTCCATCCCAGTGTTGACATGCTGGTGGGCGAGTTTGCCTCACTTATGTAACTCTGGGTTTGGTGCTCAACTCTACTGCTGCTGCTGCTTTTTAAAATCCCAGAAGGGGGTGGGGGAAAGCCCTAACCAAGCACAACAGTAAACAAGTCTGCCCTGTTTAATGTGGTTACCACCAGACATCTGGAAAGATGGTTTGATCCTGGCAACTCACATTGTTTTCACGAGCAGCCAAAGAGAATATTTCGAATGTTTGCATTGAGACAAATTGATAGGGAGCCTGTGGCGAGGCCCACTACAAATGAAAACTGTCTTGTGTTTGGGGTGGGAGGGGCTTCCCCTTCCCCTTCCTCTCTTGCTCTCTCTCCTCCCTCTCTCCCTCCTCTCCCCCTAGCTCGGGAGGGTTGCCCTGGCCCACACACTCACCCACACACTGACGCACACCCTTCCTGGCTCACCAGGGTTCTGCCCGGCCTCGGACTTTCCCAGACAGGGCAGGGCTGGTGACCAGGAGCTGGTACAGGTACCACTGGTGACCATTCCACCAGCCCAGGGCTAGCTTTCAAGTTGGGGGACGCTCACAGCCAAGGAAGCCCAGCCCAGCATTTAAAACAAAAGCTACCAACTGGGGAAAAAACACCCCAACAACAGAACTGCCCACCACACATATCTAAGTCTGGGGTCACTTACAGAAAGAGTGCACATGGGGGCGAACATTCAGGAAATATTTGGATTTGCAGCATGTCATTGGAACGTCATGGGGTGACTTGCCTCACACTTGACAGTATTTTCAAAGATGCGGAAGTCCTGCTCCCCCCCTTCAGGGGAGCGGCGGTCGAAACGTGTCTTGGCTCGCTCAATGTCAGCCCTTTTGACCCGGTCAAGACTTTCCAGACTCGGACTTCCCGGGCGCCTTCGGTCCCAGCCTGGGTTGGGGGTGGAAGGACGCGACCATCGGAGCTGGGTCCCCGGGGTATCCCCGGACTCCGGGGCGGCTCTGTCATTTCACACTGCGAAAGATGCCAGGCCTGGCAGCGCGACTCGGGCGGATCCTTCCCCCTCCGTCCTGCCTCCTCCGCAGCCCCTCTGGGCCGGCGGCCGCGCGGGCACCCGAGCTGGCAAGGGCGGCGGAGGAGGGCGGGAGAAGAGGGGGCGGGGAAGGGTGGGCAGGAGAGCGCCAAAACTCCAGACTGCACAACTGCAGCTTCAAGTGTCTGGCCTCTCGCTCGAGGCCATAATTAATTTGAGATTTATTTTTATTGGAGGACTCGAGTCTCGTCTGACCTTAGCCAAACAAGGCAGCTCGAGCCGCCCCTGGATGCGCTTGAATGCCGGGGAATATTTCTGCAGGAGGGCTCTGCAGGCGCGCCTGCTTTGAATTTGTTTCTCAGACTTCATCTACTCGCAGACTGGAGGAAGATTTAGAGCCTCTGCTGGCCCTGCCCGCTCCCCACGCTCGTTCTGGCCCGAGTGCCGAACCGGTTCAAAACGCGACGTGGGAGGCCGCGGGCCGCACGGGGGAGGGTCGCTGCGCCCCGAGCCCCAGGCCGACCCCCAGACCGTACGGCGTCGACGAGGAAACCCCAAGGGAGTCCGAGGCTGACCAGAGAGCGCAGGCTGACAAGAAGCGGAGACCAGCCAGGTGTCCAGACCCTCACCCAGCGGTGGCGCCAACAGGGGACTTGGGGATGGGGGTTGGGGGTGGGTTCAGCGTCTCCAGTCTCCGTCAGCCCCTTCCTCCAGCCGCCCCAAACATTCTAAATACAGACCAGTGTCCTCGAAACGCAGCTTGAGGACCTGTCAGCGAGATACCACCTCTGGGTCGTGCTGTTGTGACCGTTCTGGGGCTACCAACCTCCTTTCGTCCGGGGGCTGGGGGGGGGAGAGGGTGTCTCCCCCAGAATGCAGCATGGGCCAAATCCTCAGGCTGCTAGGACCACGGAGCAGCAACAAGGAGTCTGGGGGACCGTGAAGAAAGAATGGGTGAGGACTTTTCCCCGCTGGGCTCGTGCTGGGAGAGACACATGTTTGCACTCTGCTGGCACCGTGCCCTTACTGGTCAGGGGTGCTCCACTGGGTCTCCGGGTCCCTCACCCCCATCATCCTGAGTGGGTGTTCTGGTTGGGAAACCAGGCTCCCTGGGTTTGAATTCTATCTAGCTCTGCACTTACCAGCTTGAGGCCTTGAACAAGTTCCTTAAGCTCTCAGTGCCTCAGTGTCCTCATGTGCACAGTGGCGTTATAATAGGACCTATCTCCAAGTGCTGTTGTAAAGATGAAATGAGAGTTTGAAACTCTCCTGGCAGACAGCACAACCCTTATTATCTGCACCTGGGCTCTGCCCCTTACGAGCTCTGTTACATCGACCTCACAATGCTTCAGTTTCTCATCTGCAAAGTGGACTACTCCTAAGGTGGTTATCAATATTAAATGAGTTAGTATCATACAAATACAGTGTTTGGAATGGCGGCTGGCA